TTCACTCCCATTGAATGTGGCCAAACGATGTCTGGTTTAGCTCAATTAACCTTCAAACCAGTAACTGTATGGAAGCCAAAAGAATGCATCTTATATTCAAGAAGGAGCTCTATCTAGCAGTGTTGACAGTTAATGTGAATAGTAGCATAAGCATATATCTTAACATTCTTTTCTAAGATTCAAGCAAGATGCAGAAGTTTGCACGATATTAATGTCCCAGGAAGGCATTAGACTCGAATACTGTTTTTAATTCACATTTGCGATATATTTGGAACAAATTTATAAATATTGTACAATCATTTGTCAGTTCATGGTTAGTTCAATGAGAAACTTATGAAAATGTTCCGCAGATGATGAAAATTGACCTTATATGGAATTTTATGTGGAATTTGAAAAATGCATTATAATTTCTGTTAAACATAATGGAATTGGAATCTCATCATTTCAATTTTACTTGTAATCGCAAATTTTTATCATTTTCCACTAGAATTTAGGTCACTTCCCAGTTAAACTGTGTGTGACTTACATCATTTATTGAATTCAGCATCCAAGATAGAAATCTTTCCCTTGGAGGCTTTTGTTAGATGTTATCTCACTATGCTTATAGTTTTCTCTTTGGGTATTTGTTACTCATCTGAATCTTCATCTCATTTTAGTCCATGGGAAATATTTAGTAAGATCTATAACTGTTGGCTAATGTTACATGTAGTTTTAATTCAGGTTCCTCTGTTCAGCATACTAAAGAAATTTGATGGAGAAACAGTGACAGAAGTTGTTCGTCCTCGTGTAGCGAGGATGAAATATCGTGTTACTAAATTGCCACCTTACATTATTTTCCATATGGTGCGGTTTAAGAAGAATAACTTTTTCAAGGAGAAGAATCCAACATTAGGTGAACTAATTTGCAATGGAATAAAAAAATTCTTTAATTGTTATCTCCGTGCTGTAGCATTCATGGAACTTAAAACTTGTTTTTATGACCTTCACAGTCAACTTTCCGGTGAAAAATCTGGAATTGAAGGATTACATACCATTGCCTACACCTAAAGAGGGTGAGAAGTTAAGGTCAAAGTACGATCTGATTGCAAATATAGTACACGATGGTAAACCTGAGGATGGGTATTATAGGGTTTTTGTGCAGCGAAAGTCAGAAGAGCTATGGTAACTAATCTTTTTCATAATTGCATAGGTTTGGATTAAACTGAACCTTTGGCTGTGTCTGACATATCCGGCATTCATGGTTTCAGGTACGAAATGCAGGATCTACATGTTTCTGAGACTCTCCCTCAGATGGTTGCACTCTCAGAGGCTTACATGCAGATATATGAGCAGCAGCAGTAGCAGAGATGTTCTTATTTCCTTAGATCACTTAGCTACATCCTCGGGTAACAGCAACAGCTTGCAATCAAGGTAAGTATTAATTCTTTTGAAGTAGGCACGTTTTCCCAAGTGAAGGAAAGAAATATTGTAATTTTGGGAAACCGTCTGAGACTTGTAGAATTAATTTAAAGCCAGGTAGGAGTGTCGCAATTTTGGGAGCAGGAAAACTTGAAGAAGTGTAGTGAG